GAACCAAACTTCCCACACAGAACCCCCATGACCAACAGAAAATACTGTGTTTCCTGATGGTCTTTGGCAACCCTTCTGACACCCACTCCCCCCCAGGGGTTCTGGCCCCCAGGTTGAGAAATACCGCCTTAAGGCCATCCAGTCCCACTCCCTTCACCAGGGCAAGAACACATAATCAAAGACCTTCCTGACATAGAACCATCCAGCCATAGATATAGATAGATATATATATGATTCACACACGCACACATGTATATGACAGATATAATATCATAGATTTGAAATGGACCCCTAAAGAAGGACAATTATATGTTGTATGTCTCAGAACAGGCAGACCAGACAATCTACATCAACACTGACAAAGAAACAACAAGAAATACATTTTACCCACAAGCATAAAGAAATTACATATATTAGAAACCAACACTTCCTCATTACTTTATTTTCCAGCTCACCAGACTGGGCCACAACAGCACCTAGCAGGGGATCACTAGTGTGTGTGTGTGTGTGTTTGTAAACACTAAGTACTTAGATGTCTTGATTGGTGTTGATCTTAAGTTGACTTCCTTCTTAACATTGTAAACATTTCTATTATCAATGTCTCAATTCTTATCAGAGTTTACTTTTCAGTTCTTATTAGCAGGTTTTAATCACTGTCCAGCAAGCAGGTAGTTAGTCATTGCAGGCCTTAATATTATACTGGTGTCTCCAAAATTATTAGCTCCATCTATACATTCACCTTCATTCTTCCATTCATTCCCACACATTATATTAAATCCACATTTATAAAATCTGGACATTCAATTTTTGTGACATCTGTGTGCCTAGGAAGGAGTTTCTTATTTGGTATCAGCCATTGGTTGAGGTTCTGGGTTTGAGCCTGCCACTTTTGGACTCTCGCTTGCTGAGGTGTTCCAGCGAGTGTCTTAGAAAACTATTTATTGATTTAAGTCATCGGCGTGCTGGCTGATACCAAACGGGATGAACTGGAGATGTCACTGCCTTGGTCCTTTCACAGACATGATAAATACATGATATTCTGGGTTTTAGCCTGCCTCTTTTGGACTCTCGCTTGCTGAGGTGTTCCTGCGAGGGTCTCTGTAGATKTTAGAAAACTTTTTCTTGATTTAATATTGAACCACAATATGGACATCTTATTTACTTACWTGACAACAGCGGTGAGAATTCCCTATGCGAAGCTTTGGAAGTTGGATAAGATACCAGAGACAGACGACTGGTTAAGTAAACTTAGAGACATGAGAGACATGGATAAYCTAAKCCCCCCCCCCRTTTTTTTTTCTTTTTCTTTTAAGAATAGCTCGGGTAGCCCAATTAAAAGGACTGACTGGTCCTTTGTTGAGGAATATGAAAAGGAAAAAGGATTATAAACATTTTAGTCAATTACGGGCTCTTAACTATAATTTTTTTTCAAAAATATATAGAGATATTTGAATTTACGAAGCATGAAAATGAGACATGCAGCGGCTCAGAATGGAAGTCAAGAGACTTTTTTTTCTTTTTTCCTCCTTTCTCTTCATTTCCTACTTTACTATCTCTCCAATGTTCTCCCACTTTCTATGTAAAATACTAAAATGTTTTTTCCCCTTTTTTGGAACAATATTTAAAAAAAAGAAAAGAAAGAAAATTATTTCTTGATTAAAGTTGGTGTGCTGGCTGATACCCAAACAGGGGGTGGGATGGAGATATCACTGCCTTGGTCCTTTCACAGACATGATAAATACACACGGTTTTGGGTTTGAGCCTGCCACTTTTGGATTCTCGCTTGCTGAGGTGTTCCTGCAAGTGTCTCTGTAGATCTGAGAAAACTATTTCTTGATTTAAGTCGTCCGCGTGATAAATAAAGAGTGAAAACTGGCTCTTTGAACAAGCGTTTGGGACTTCAGCATGACCAGATAAACTCAAATTGGAATATGAACTAGGAATGGTTGAGGAATTGAACAAGAAGACATAGTTTTTATATTTTTATTCTATATTGCTTTTATGTTTTTTAAATGTATTATGTTGTGATATTTATTTATTTATTTTTGCTTTTAACCAATGTATATATTTATATATGGCATCTAATTGTTGCTGATTTGTACGCTGCCCTGAGTCGCCTTCAGGCGGGATAAAACTGACGTAAATAAATAAATAAATATTAGTCTGCACTTTTGGACTCTCGCTTACTAAGGTGTTCCTGCAAGTGTTTCTGTAGATCTTAGAAAACTATCTCTTGAATTAAGTCCTCGGTGTGTTGGCTGATACCCAAACAGGGGGTGGGATGGAGATGTCACTGCCTTGGTCCTTTCACAGACATGATAAATACACGAGGTTCTGGGTTTGAGCCTGCCACTTTTGGACTCTCGCTTGCTGAGGTGTTCCTGCGAGTGTCTCTGTAGATCAGGGGTCCCCAAACTTTTTAAACAGAGGGCCAGGTCACAGTCCCTCAAACTGTTGGAGGGCCGGATTATAATTTGAAAAAATGAATTAATTCCTATGCACACTGCACATATCTTATTTGTAGTGTAAAAAACACTTAAAAACAATACATTAATTAAATTGAGGAACAATTTTAACAAATATAAACTTATTAGTATTTCAATGGGAAATGTGGGCCTGCTTTTGGCTGATGAGATAGGATTGTTGTTGTTGTTATGTGCTTTCAAGTAATTTCAGACTTAGGTTGACCCTGAGTGAGGGCCTGGTAAATGACCTTGGAGGGCCGCATCCGGCCCCCGGGCCTTAGTTTGAGGACCCCTGCTGTAGATCTTAGAAAACTATTTCTTGATTTAAGTCGTTGGCGTGCTGGCTGATACCTAAACAGGGGGTGGGATGGAGATGTCACTGTCTTGGTCCTTTCACAGACATGATAAATACACGAGGTTCTGGGTTTGAGCCTGCCACTTTTGGACTCTCGCTTGCTGAGGTGTTCCTGCGAGTGTCTCTGTAGATCTTAGAAAACTATTTCTTGATTTAAGTCCTCGGTGTGTTGGCTGATACCCAAAAAGGGGGTGGGATGGAGATGTCACTGCCTTGGTCCTTTCACAGACATGATAAATATTTATTTATTTATTTATTTGCTTTATTTCTATACCGCATTTTTCAGCCCAATGTGGTTTACACGATACAGGTTATCACAACAATGTCATAAGCAATTAAAACACATCATACATAACAGACAAAATCAAAAACAATTATTATCATATCATAACGCCTCAATGAAAATCAGAATCCGTTCTCATAATCCTTGTGCCATTCCTATGTTCGATTTTACCGTCTTCCTTTGCCAAACGCTTGTTCATAGAGCCAAGTCTTAACCTTCCTCCGGAATGCCAGCAGTGAAGGGGCCTGTCTGATGTCCACAGGTAGGGCATTCCACAGCCGAGGGGCCACCACCGAGAATGCCCTGTCCCTCGTCCCCGCCAACCGCGCCTGCGATGCAGGCGGGACCGAGAGCAGGGCCTCCCCAGACGATCTTAATGTCCTAGTCGGTTCATAGGTGGAGATGCGTTCGGAGAGGCTTAGTTTGAGGACCCCTGCTGTAGATCTTAGAAAACTATTTCTTGATTTAAGTCGTTGGCGTGCTGGCTGATACCTAAACAGGGGGTGGGATGGAGATGTCACTGTCTTGGTCCTTTCACAGACATGATAAATACACAAGGTTCTGGGTTTGAGCCTGCCACTTTTGGACTCTCGCTTGCTGAGGTGTTCCTGCAAGTGTCTCTGTAGATCTTAGAAAACTATTTCTTGATTTAAGTCATTGGCATGCTGGCCGATACCCAAACGGGGTGGGATGGAGATGTCACTGCCTTGGTCCTTTCACAGACATGATAAATACACGAGGTTCTGGGTTTGAACCTGCTGCTTTTGGACTCTCGCTTGCTGAGGTGTTCCTGCAAGTGTCTCTGTAGATCTTAGAAAACTATTTCTTGATTTAAGTCGTTGATGTACTGGCTGATACCCAAACAAGGGGTGGGATGGAGATATCACTGCCTTGGTCCTTTCACAGACATGATAAATACACGAGGTTTTGGGTTTGAACCTGCTGCTTTTGGACTCTCGCTTGCTGAGGTGTTCCTGCGAGTGTCTCTGTAGATCTTAGAAAACTATTTCTTGATTTAAGTCCTCGGTGTGTTGGCTGATACCCAAAAAGGGGGTGGGATGGAGATGTCACTGCCTTGGTCCTTTCACAGACATGATAAATATTTATTTATTTATTTATTTGCTTTATTTCTATACCGCATTTTTCAGCCCAATGTGGTTTACACGATACAGGTTATCACAACAATGTCATAAGCAATTAAAACACATCATACATAACAGACAAAATCAAAAACAATTATTATCATATCATAACGCCTCAATGAAAATCAGAATCCGTTCTCATAATCCTTGTGCCATTCCTATGTTCGATTTTACCGTCTTCCTTTGCCAAACGCTTGTTCATAGAGCCAAGTCTTAACCTCCCTCCGAAACGACAACAGCGAAGGGGCCTGTCTGATGTCTACAGGTAAGGCATTCCATAGCCGAGGGGCCACCACCGAGAAGGCCCTGTCCCTCGTCCCCGCCAAACGCGTCTGTGACGCAGGCGGGACCGAGAGCAGGGCCTCCCCAGACGATCTTAATGTCCTAGTTGGTTCATAGGTGGAGATGCGTTAGGAGAGGTAAGTAGGGCCGGAACCGTTTAGGGCTTTATAGGCTTATGCCAGCACCTTGAATTGTGCCCTACGAGGTTCTGGGTTTGAGCCTGCCGCTTTTGGACTCTCGCTTGCTGAGGTGTTCCAGCGAGTGTCTCTGTAGATCTTAGAAAACTATTTCTAGATTTAAGTCGTTGACGTGCTGGCTGATACCTAAACAGGGGATAGGATGGAGATGTCTCTGCCTTGGTCCTTTCAGTGACAGGATAAACAAACAAACAGACAACCCAAAGGAGAACTTCCCGTATCCCAAGTGTGAGAGGCGGAACTGTGTGTCCCGGGTGCGTGTTGCAGTGGGGAGCGCTGTCTCGGTGGCACCAGCTGGCAGAGCTGGGGAGATGGCTCCGGGGCCCGGGCTGCGGCGGAAGAGCGGCCCTCCGGCCTGGGCGCCGGTGCTGGTCCCGGGCGTGCTGCGCGGGGCCTGGCGGGGGAAGCGGCGCCTCCTCTTCGAGGCCCAGTACACGCCCTTGGTGGCCGCCTGCCTCTGCCTGGCCGAAGCCGGCCTCTGCCCCTGGGTCATCCAGAGGGTCCCCTGTGAGTCAGGGAGGGAGGGAGGGCAGGCTAGGCCCCGAGCCTGGGGGACTTCACTTCCCAGAAGCCTTCCCCATTCGCCTACGCAGCAGAGGCTTCTGGGAATTGTAGTCCCAAACGCCTGCCAGGCCAGAGGGAAGCTGTAAGCAGAGTCCAAAGTTGTGTGTAGGGAAGATCTTGGGAGAGACCTCCTGGGCCATCCAGTCTAACCCCATTCTGCAGGGAAATTGCATTCAAAGCACCCCCGACAGATGGCCATCCAGCCTCTGTTTATAAACCTCCAGACAAGGAGCCTCCACCACACTCCGGGGCAGAGAGTTCCACTGCTGAACGGCTCTCAGAGTCAGAAAGTTCTTCC